AAGTGAGAGTGGTAATAACATTTCTGAAGTTTGAGGCCGGTCCAATTTTAGTGCAAGAAAACTTTAATTTATCTTTGTCTAATTGTAGTCCTCACGACTTTGCTTAATCGGATATCTGTTTTGTCTTCAGGTCTTTGGGAAATTTATAGCGGTGTCATCTTTGTTTTTTACTTAGTAAAAATCAATTATTCATTCAGTATTATATTTGCAGGTGATCTGATTTTTCAGTCGTTGTTATGCTGCAAACGGAACGCGTGCTTATCGAGTTTTGTCTGTTATTCAGTGCAGAACGCTTAAGCCGGTCAGCCTGTATGGTGACACACTTTTTTTAATATCCGACAGAATTGTCCGCGAAAGAATATTGGATATTTTAAGAGGAGTCCGATCTTGAAAAAATGAAAATAAAATCAGACTAGCGTTTAAAGGGTTGACAAGTTTAGAAGCGTCCACTCTAATCTTAAGTGATTTTAACAATTAAAACAATGATTTTTTGTCAGTGACTATTTGCAATTCTACACTTTGCTGTCACAAGTGAAACAGATCAGGCTCAATTTATTTTTAACTTTAGCTATAATTAAATTGCAAGGAATTTTAATACAAACGGTTATTTTTGAAAGAAGGATAACATGTCGCGGTGCAAGTAAAACAAAACTTCAAACCACACGAATCTAAGAAAAACTACTAAAAAATTCAAAAACAAGGAATAGTTTTTTTTTCAAAAAATTATAAAGATTTAAATTTTCTTTTGTTTAGTTTCGGGGCCCTAAGAGGAAAATGAATTAATTGCAAAAGTTGATTGAGAAGAGAGAAAATATCGTAATACTTTCATACTTGTTTGTATGTCTAAAACAAGAATTTTTTCAGACCACTTATTCCCGGCGCTGACAAATTTTCAATTCTCAAAAATATGTGAAACCCAGAAATCACAATTTCAGTAAATTGATTACTATTTTTTGCGGAGTTGATCTTTGCATTCATTTGAAAAACGTTGCAATTAAGTAAAAGTTTTGATTTGAAATTAAAAATTTTTTATAATCAAACATCACATTTCACTTAAAAATAGCTGGTCGCGGTCCAATTTGAAGAAAATGCTAGAATTACTATGATTCAACTAAAGTAAATTGAAAATTGAGAAATCAGTTTCTTTCGTTCTTGTGCGTCTGAAAAGGTAAATGAATCAGTTAATTTTTTGTAACTTTTTCTAAAATTAATTGATTTCTGTCAAAAGCTTCCCTCCCAAGTCTGAGTTTCTGGCTTCAATCGAAATTAGAGTTTGCACCAATCTCTTCTGCATAAACAGCTAAACCCAAATTTCTTAGACAAAAAGTAAGGATTCTCGGAAAAGTCTAATTTTTGATTTGTTGACCATTTTTTCCACTTTTCTCGACAAACATCCGAGTCTGAAATCAAAGGTAGAAAAGTTATTTTAAAATTTTCGTCATTTTTGTATACAACTATTTTTTTTTTTGAAAATGGAAGCTCTAGCAAAAATCAAACTTTTCATTTTTGACCGTTGTTTGGAAACTTCTTGAGGTTTCTCAAAAACTACCCTGCCAATTCTTAGGTTGAATGTTCAATTTCTTGCAGAAAAAGTTATGTTTTTCAATTCTCAAAAATATGTGAAACCCAGAAATCACAATTTCAGTAAATTGATTACTATTCGTTGCGGAGTTGATCTTTGCATTCATTTGACAAACGTTGCAATTAAGTAAAAGTTTTGATTTGAAATTAAAAATTCTTTATAATCAAACATCACATCTCACTTAAAAATAGCTGGTCGCGGTCCAATTTGAAGAAAATGCTAGAACTACTATGATTCAACTAAAGTAATTTGAAAATTAAGAAATCAGTTTCTTTCGTTCTTGTGCGTCTGAAAAGGTAAATGAATCAGTTAATTTTTTGTAACTTTTTCTAAAATTAATTGATTTCTGTCAAAAACTTCCCTCCCAAGTCTGAGTTTCTGGCTTCAATCGAAATTAGAGTTTGCACCAATCTCTTCTGCATAAACAGCTAAACCCAAATTTCTTAGACAAAAAGTAAGGATTCTCGGAAAAGTCTAATTTTTGATTTTTTGACCATTTTTTGGACTTTTCTCGACAAACATCCGAGTCTGAAATCAAAGGTAGAAAAGTTATTTAAAAATTTTTGTCATTTTTGTATACAACTATTTTTTTTTGAAAAATGAAGCTCTATCAAAAATCAAATTTTTCATTTTTGACCGTTGTTTGGAAACTTCTTGAGGTTTCTCAAAAACTACCCTGCCAATTCTTAGGTTGAATGTTCAATTTCTTGCAGAAAAAAGTTATATTTTGTTTTCAAGCCATGCGCACTACAAAAGTGTATGGAGCCTTATAGATTAACAATCGAAGAGCATCATCTCGGGCGGACACTGAAGGCTATCCATCCTGTTTAAAGTGCCGCGAACAAACTCTCCAGTTCTTGAAAAGCATATGTTTGTCAAAATTCATGTAATTGTGAAAAATATTTTTCTTGTGATATTTTGAAATGTAATGTTCATGGGAAAATTCCAATATCTCAAAAAATTTTACTGTTCTTACCTTTTTTTGGCAGAGAAGCAACTAAGGTCTCGTGCAAAATCCAAAATTTGAATTAACGCATTTCTTCCAATCTCAGCATAACAAATTTAAAAAATCAAACACGTACCTCCAGCTTTAGCTGGGCCCATGGTTATCTTTTATCGAGGCATGCAAAGTTTCTTTTAATTGTGTTTTTTTTTCGTTTCCAACGTTTTTTTGAATCGTACTCACAATCTATTGAGCTTTATTACGACATTATACCCCAGCCCTTTAGGGTTTTCCTTAAGATATCTAATTGGTTTTTGAAAACACACTATACGCCACAGTTCCTGTTAGGTGGTTAGAGCAACTTTCGAACACCAAGTACAAAAATTGATAATTTGTTAGCTCATTTTTGATAACTTTCCATTCATCGTTTCTTGGAAGCTTGAACAATATATACCAGTCTATGGTATGCGTGGTATTATCAGTGTTTTCTCTAAAACCAATACTCAGAAATATTTTGGTTTTTTTCGGTCATAATCCCCTAAACGACAAAAAAAGGAAAAAAACTTATTGCAGCATTTGCATTATCACTTTTTACCAAATGAGGAATATTAAAATAAGGCCGTCAAAATGAGACAAATTCATCGAAATAGCCTCAATATGATTCTAATTGCGATCCTCGATGCCGTCTGTAGTCTGTAAAAAAAATTTCTAACAGGGTCAGCAAAACTTTATTCGCTTCATTTTCGCACTTCATAATAGCAGGATGTATTCAGTTAGGTGGTAGAATAGCCGTAAAGCTAGTTATAATAATTGATTGTATTTTTGTTTCACCCTGGTACTTGTATCTATCGACAAATGATAAACAAGGTAGCCAGTTATTGTGCAAAGATGACAGAATGTTCCGATCATAGTCATACAATTTTTTTTTCAAATTTGTATCTTTTTTTGCGTGGTGTGATAAAAAGGATCTGAACGAAAAATAAGCCTACATAAATTAGACACTAAAAGTAAAATACGCAAATTGGACGTGAGGTTTTTTTGAAAATGAATAGAAAAACTAAGAAAATGATCAACAAAAAAAATCAAAAAAATTTTTAAAATGTTTTGCCGAATATTTTTCAATTTTTTCATTCTCAAAATGACGTTAAAAATTTCAGAAAGTAACTTTACTTGAGTAAAACTGAACTTAAGCAGAAGCAAGCTTTTGTAAAAAGCTGAAATGAAGCAAAATATGCCTGCTCGCTTGCTTAATTCGCTTGAATTAGAACAGAAATCAAAATTTTCAAACAGGTTTTTCTTGAAACACCTAACAAGAATTTTTTTTTTCAAAATTAAAAAAAAATGTTCGAATCATGACTAAAAGGGCTTTTGAAATATATATCACTCGACCCATTCCGATGACTATTTGTGGTACCTGATTTTGGTGGAAAGCAAAAGAAAAAACTAACACACACCCAAATACCAAATTCTATCCCATTTTTCAAATGGTCGTAACAAAAATGACAGATGAAAATTTTCGATTTTGATCGCGGTCATTCCGTGGAGCCTTGGCAGAACATCAAATGTCTGGTATTTCAAATTAGTATCGTTTTTTTCTGCGTGTTGTGATAAAAAAAGATCTGAACGAAAAATAAGCTTACGCATATTCGACACTAAAAGTAAAGTACGCAAATTGGACGACAGTTTTTTTTTTCGAAAAAAAACCAAAAAATTATTAAACAAAGAAGTTCAAAAAAAAATTAATTTTTTTTTGCTGAATATTTTTCAATTTTTTTTACTTTAAAAACGACGTTAAAATGTTGTAAGACGACGAAGCTGTTGTAAGAAGCTTAAATGAAGCAAAATATGCCTGCTCGCTCGCTTTATTCGCACGAAATTAGAACAGAAATCAATGATTTCAAACGGGTTTTTCTTGACACTTAGAAAAAATTTTCAGAATTAAAAAAAAACTGTCCGAATTATGACTAAAAGGGCTTTTATAATATATATCACTCGACCCATTCTGATGACTATTTGTGGTACCTGATTTTGGTGGAAAAGAAAAGAAAACAACTAAAACACACCCAAATGCCAAGTTTTATCTCATTTTTCAAATGGTCGTAACAAAAATGACAGATTAAAACTTTCAATTTTGATCGCGGCCATTCCTTGGAGCCTTGGCAGAACATCGAATTTCATTTATTTTCTGTTATACTGTCCAAAACTGGGTCATGAAGTTCAAATCTTATGGTTGTGATTACTTCCACCAAAATAAAATCTGAATTTTTAATAAAAAACACAAGCTCAATTAGCAATTTTCTTAATTTTGGGGTGTATAATAGAAAAGACCCCGAAGTTCGTTTGATATTCAATGTTTGCGAAGAAACCAAATGTGTAAACGAGTCAATCAATCAATCGATGGGTCCTTCTTCTAATAAGCTGGCAGCATGGACCGGCGAATTGGTATACCACCCTTTGCCGCAGACTGATTGAATTAGCAATATTGGACCAACATATGATTCCTTTTCTTTATACTCTAGGCTGGCTATTTCATAAACTGAGAGTTGGATAAATATTAGCCAATTGCGAGGGAGAAAAAGAGATCTATTGCAGCTATGTTGTGAGGGGAGAGATAGATAAATAGATCAATTGCAGTGGCTTCGCTTTGTTTTTCTCTCAATTTCTCGGCCAAATAAGCCAGTCAGTACTAGTTAGTACTAGTAGTAGATATTCTAGCTAACTAACATTAGTTAATATGATTTCACTCATCTATTCACTCGTTGCTCTTAATAAATGCCATCATCATCTTTTAACTGAAGAAACTGTAAACTTGCCTATATAGTCATTCATTTCGATTTATCGCATATTTCTGGCAGTTGAGAAAATTGTTTGTTCACGACTCCGTAATTTGTTGCTCGGATCAGAACGAGGAAAGTTACTCCAGACGAGTGCCATCTCTAGCCGCCGGTTTGTTTCAGCGCTGTGACTGCTGGAGCTGTTTGGACCAACTCTACAACCTTGAACTCCGTCACTGCAAGAAGTCGAGCCAGTAGTAATCACCGTTCAATTGGGTGAGTTTTCTTCCAACTGCTCATTTTCTTGTATCAATCTTCATACTTTTTGTAAATCTTCAATCTCCGAGAAGACAATGGTATAAATGATCGAATCTATGCGTTTGGATTTTCAGTCCTCCTCTTGAAAATTTAGTCAATGTGACAAAATGCGGCTCATGCGGGGGGATGGGGGTGGGGGGGGGGGGGGGAGGGGGTTGGTTGGTGGGTGGGTGGATGTTGTTGAGTTTTGCACAAGTATTGGATGAACTTCATAGATGATCCCGTTCAGGGTTTGAAAAGAAAAACCTTCAGAGCACTTGCACGATAACAGAGTGGTACATATATAATAAATTGGTCCCTGAAACTTTTTTTGTGCCGAAAATCTTCGGAAACAGAGTGAATTATCTGATTTTAGCCTTCAACAAAAACTTCAGTCCCCATCTTAGCTTTTTCTAGGCACACAACTATCATATCATATTTGTATCACGTTCAAAATCAAAGTTTGATTAGAAAGATCAATTTTTGAACAGAAATCTCAAGTTTAATTAAATTTCGAAAACTTTAGTTTCTTTTTTTTTGAGAAGGTCAAGCTATCAGTTCATATTTCTCTCAAATTCCAAATTCCATGTGTAAACCTCGAATGAATTGCGTTTCATATTTTATTTAAATATACAAATTTTGAATGTAGACAGCCTCAAAATTAAATCATCTTTATGTTTTGACTAACGATATCAAAAATCTTGTAACTTTGGAGGGCGCGCCAAAAAAGCGACTCTCAGTAAGAACCTCGCTTAAAGGGCCTTTCATTTTTAAAAAATTAAAAAAAGACACCCTTTTTCGCAAAAAGTTGTCTGCGAAGCAAAAATTGGGTTAAATGTGTCTTTTAGTAGAGCTCGAAAAAAAAAGAAATATCCATCGCAATAAGCCTAGATCCTGAATTATCTGATCTCACTTTTTGTTTACATTGTACTGATGATATATATCCATATCTAATCTTCGGAATTTCGCTTTTAAATGCTTGGTTCTTATTTTTCTCTGTCAACTACTGCTACCACATGTTTCATGCTCTGTCATCCGTTTTGCTGAAATCCAAGGACTTTTCTTTAATTTGATTAATTCAAAATCTGGCACATATCAGAGTATTTATGCATCTGGCTCTTGAGGAGTAGCATATTGTATAATTGACTATCTAGTTACTGGCGCGAACCAGGTTAACACTCTTGATATGGACTGCATCGCTCTTAATAATACAAGACCTAAAGCAGAAAGACGCTTGACTGTCGAGATTCGAGAGTCTATCGAATAATCAAAAGAAGCTGCTGCGCTGACTTCTCTTTTGTTCAAGCTTGTCTGGTTGATAACACAACGGGGAGCCAAGCAAGCAAAGGTCCACTTGTTGATCTTATCCAGTCAAGCCATGAGTCAAATTGTTTTGATGAGTTATAGTTATAAGTTACGGTTTATGAATTCTGGAAACAGCGGTGAAGCTTGAGGAGCTTCATTAGTGCTCACAGCTTGAATATTCTTAAGATGAAAGGTCCAACTTTTGAAGAAAAAAATTCAAAAGCTATTTCAAAAATCAAAAAACATATTTTATGTTTTAACAATCTGCTATAATTTTTGCGCAATTTTATTCTTTTTGCCGAAGCTAAAGCAGAATTGATTTTTTTAGAGATCGGCAAAGATTCAAGAAATTTTCGAATGCTTATTGTTTATAGCTCATTTCTTTTTTGTTTGAACTTCAAAGCATGTTCTGGAAAAATAGTTTTTTACACCCCAAAGTTAAACAAAGTTCCTGTCAAATGGTGTCTTAAACATATACAAACAATTCAAAACACATTTAATAACAAAAACACGATTTCTCTATTTTGCCACAAACTTCGTACGCCAACTGAAAAATCTCAGAAAATTTGCGCTTTTTGGGAGATATTCAATAAGTTGGTGTGTTTGAGTAAACTTGACAAAGTTGTTTTTGTTGGTATAAAAAGACCAACCGCTCAACAATATTGCCGAAGAAAACAGCTAATTTATGAATTGTGTCACAATTTACTGTAACCTTCCTTGTTGTGTCTTCTTTTAGTTGGTAATAGAAGGCAGAAACTTCAGCAGAACACCCCAAAGTCAAACAAAGTTCCTGTCACCATCAAATGGTGTCATAAACATACAAACATAGACTGACACATTTAATAAGAAAAAACGCATTTTTTCTTCATTTCTGCGTCTTAGATGAAGAGAAAATAAAAACAATAAAATTATTATTTTAGACGAAAAAGAGGGAATTGCTATAATATATCTTATTATTTTTTGTTTACTAGTGGTTTATTACTACTAGAGATGGTTATTAATATCATGAAGCGGATGAGCGATTGAAGACAAGCTGACAAGCTCTGTTTTGAAAAGAAGAAGAAGAAAACATATGGAGGCTCTCTGCGGCACACTTTAAAGCAGAACAACAGAGTAGCACCATCACAACAAATAGCACCGAATACCATCATAATAACAGCGCCAACCATAAAACACAAGAGCCAAACATTCATTCTCGCTATTTTCTTTTCTCTTCTCTTTTCTCTGCGACTATCTTCTTTAATTCTTTTTCAACTCTGCTGTTTTCTTAAGTTTGTGCTTACTTAGTCTGCTGCTTTCGCTGCTTCTCTCAACTCAACAAGTCAACACTCTTACTCATCTACTGCTGCTTGTTCAAGCGACGTCGCTTTATTGCTCATTTAACAGCCTGCCTTTGTACCGCAGAAAGTCTCACTTGTGTGGTAAGTCATCGTCACTCAAGCCATAAGCCATAAATCAGCTAAATATTAACCCGCCTCTATTCAAGTATAACTATCATGGAAAATTCGAATACTCCGTCAATTCGTAAGTTTTTTGTAAGTTTTTATAAGTTTCGGCTTTCACCAGCTGTTTTATTAACATATATTCATTATTTTTGGTTGTTTAATAGCGAATGTTTTTTTAAATTGCCTAAAACCCTACGTTTTTAGTAGAAATTTGCCACAATTAGACGGTTTTTGAATTTTTTGATAGAAGGACACAGATTAGGTAACTTTTTATCGGTTTGAACTAGAGAAGTTATACTGTTTGCTTCTTAGACGTGACTTGTTTAAATTGTCTTTTATTTGAGAGCTAGCTTCCTTTGAATTCTGATGAACAATGGTACTTTATTTGATCGGAGTTCGACTTCTAAAGAAGAACAAACGATTAAGTTGAGGTTGGATAATGTCGTGTATAAAACAGAAAACAGACAGCTGAGAGATCTGCTAAGCATTAAAAGTTTTAGATGAACTGAAAATTCTCATTTGTTCACATTGTCTATTCACGCTTCTTTCTGCTGAAGCTGAGCAAAAACGCGGAACAAAAAGCAGATTACTTATTTTGACGACTTTCTTCATTGAAAAGGGTAAGATTTTTTTCGTGGTAAACGCAACTAGAAACTTATCAGTTATCGTTCACAGGTGTTTCAATTTTTTCTCAGGGTTTTCTTGGAAAAACGCCACTTTTCTTTGGAACATCAATAGTAAATAAGAAATTTCAGCTGATGCGACTTATGTTATTAATCATTTTTTTGGTCGGTAAGATCTTAATGATTCGGGAAAACTAGCCAAACATTTAAGAGTTTTTTCTGTTTGGCAAACATTTGAAGTGAGGTTATAGACAATTTGCGAGCAGATCTGAAGATCTGCATACTTCAGCGTTTATCTGTCTTCTTCTTAACTAATAGTTTTTTCGCTTTGATCGCTGTCGGAATTGTTTTGTGATCTGAACATGTTGTGAGAGCTCTGTCAGATTTTGAAAGATTTTTTATTAATTGATGGCGCCGATAAAAGCGATTGGTTAAATCTGACATACATTGCTAGTTTTTATCCAGATTTTCATCTCACTAGAAGCGGTCGTTTCAAAATTTTTCCTTTTTTATTTAATTATTTTTATACTCAATCACTTACTAAAAAATTACGTTTTAAACGGCATGTTTATGAATGGTATAAAATCTAATTTTTTCGCAAATGGACACGATGAAAACGGATTACCTCTACCCTGTTTTTTTTTTATAAAATAAGTTCTGCTTGTTTAAAGGTAAAGCTTTCAGAGTTTTTTGTTCTAACTTTTTGACCGATTTTTCTAGTTTTTCACTTAACTTTGTTTTCAAAATGTTAAAGAAAATCAAATTTTCAACGGGAAAAAAGTTCAGACCTGTATTTAAAGTGTCCATTTCTCAGTAAATTGCCTGATTAACAAATGCCTGATTTTACGTTTTTAGAGCTTCGGAGCTTTAAACTGCCTAGGTTTGGTTTGATTTTGAGCGCGGATCGCACACAGAGCACACAAAATTGCAAACAACTGCCCATGACCTAATTAAAAACACCCACATGGACAAAATTAAGCGCAAATTCAGGTTTTTTCCAAAATGCCTTTTTTCTAGGATGATTTTGGACAACTTTCACTAGGATAATAAAGTTTTTGCATAATCCAGAAGCAAATGATCAGAGCTGCCCCCTTTGAAAGTATCAAAATTTAGTTTCAAAGGCTTACCAGTTTTTCCGTGTCTGAAAATGCCAGTTTTCACCATCTGGACTAGATTGTTTGTTCGAAACGCGTGAAATTGTAAGGAACTGCTGAGTTTAGTAAAATTGTCACTATGAAAAATTCAATAAAACTGCTTAGAAATTTTCATATCGAATGAACAATGATTTTTCTCCAATTTTTTGAGAAAAAATTCTCACCGATGCAAAAATTAGTGCAGATGGCGAAAACTGGCATTTTTCAGACCCCCAAAAAATTAGTAAGTCTTTGAAACCAAATTTTGATAATTTTTCAGAGGGCAGCTATAACCAGTTGCTCTTTGTCTACGTAAATTTTTTGTTAAAACTATCAGTGAAAGCTTTCCACAATCATCCTTGAAAACAGGCATTTTAAAGAAAAATTTTCTTGCGTATGCTTGTTTTCTTATCTCAATTTTGATTGCTTAACATAGTATTCGTCTACTTCATGACCTGTCTACAAAAAATATTATCTAATTGTTGCTGTGTAACCTTTAAATTACTAAATTTCTATGTAAATTTGTTTTTCATTGTTAGATAATGTCATTAAAACAGAAAAAATTATGACGTTTTCATCCAAGCGTTTGATTATTTGTCCAAAAAAAATTGTGTAGGAGTCAAAAAATGGATCAGCATTCCAAGTTATTCAGGTTGATTACACAATAGAAAAATGTAGGTGAAGTTTCCGCTGTGATTTCAAATTTCTTCTCGCTACATGAAAATTAACAAAGTTAAGAAAAAAACATCTGAACTTTTTCCGATTGTTTTTTGGAACTAAGTTGATTGGAACATTATCTGCTACTTTCACACCGTAAATTTATGTTTTTTTTTAAGTTTGTCTTTATATGGACTTTTTGGATTTTCTACAGACAATTGAATATATCTCCGCTGTTGAAACAGTTAAATAAATAAAGGAAAAACAAGACTGCTCATATACCAGGACAGAGCCATGAACATTTCGACAACCCCGTCAATTGGAAAAGAAAAATTGAAAGGGCATTAAGGACAAATTCATACGTCAAAAAATTTGAGTCGAACAAACTTAAGAAATTAATACGACCAATTAGCCTGCCTCAATTCATTTTGGAAGAACTTTGCAGTGCGGGATAATTCCTCACGCATGATATTACAGTAATAAGTATTCAAACAAGACCCTGAATGTTCCGACTGCCCCTTAATCCATATCGAATAGTTTATGGGAAAAGAAAATTTTGAAACCTATAAGTTTTGGTCGATAACAAGTGCGAAAACTTGAGTCATACAGAGTTAACACGACCGATTGACTAGCCTCAATTTAACTTGGAAAGATTTTGTTGTGCGGGGTATTTTGCCATACATAAATAATTCGAGTAATGCTTTGAGGATTATGGATAAAACCAACAAAGCGCGCATAAATTAGTCCAGAGCATGGCCAAATTGGCAATTTTCAATCACCCAAAACTTTGCAAAAAACCATGGGAGGTAAAATCTTTTTAAATATGATTTTAGGGAGTCGATATTTTCAACAGGGCATAATTTTTTTGTTAAAAACAATTATTTCGTTCGCGGACTGAATTATTTTCCTTGACTGAATAAAAAAACACACCAAGCATAAATATTCCGTTTCCTTCAAAAGTCGGAACAAAAAATTAGACACATTTTGCAATTTTCGTGGTCGGAGGGCCAGAATTAAATGCAGAAATTTATGTTTTTGGGGCCCATGGAATGTGTTCATTTATGGAAAGGCTTCAAAGTTTTTTAAAAAAAATTGTTTTTCGTCGCTTTTTTTGCTCCAAACTAATAGCTAGAAAAATTTTTGGACATTCACCCAAAATTTTGTGTCGTAAAATAATTACAAATTTCAGCTCTTGTTCGAAACCATCAGAAAACTGATGTTTTTAGTGACCTTTTCTGATTTTTCACCATTATTTTTCCAGTGGTGAGGATATGAGTATCTTTAGGCAGTTTCACCGCCCCAACCAATACCTTTAATCGTCTACTGGATATATATCATATATTTGGATGTTATTGTATTTTAGTTGCACGATCTAAGATCATATCTAGCCAATCAAAACTTGTTTGTCGATAAATTTAGCTGATTAAATTAGTCAAACAAATTTAAAGCTTCTGTCTTCATTATTTCAATATCACATCTCAACTCTTATTCCAAATACTCAAAACGGTTATTTGATTTTTTTGCAAATGATTTGAAAATGTAATTTTTTGATTATTTGCTAGTGATTTGAAAAAAAAAACTTTTTTGAATTATTTGCTAGTGAGATAGTTATCTGCGACTTGTACGTTGTTGAATCTGCATTTTCTGCCTGTTAGGTACTATAAATTCATAAATTTACCAAATATTCGATCATAAAACAGTCATTTAGACGAAGCAGATACCCCTAATTACACATGCACTTCTGGTCCCCTTTCTGCTGCAAATAGCTTCCCAGTACTGAATTTATACTTTGCGAAATTCCCATTTTCATTTTAAAATTCTATATTACCTTTGCGATATCTGTTAATAACTTTTTGACAACATTACCTGAAACTTGACTGATCTTTACTTTTTCAAACCTTTCTTTCAATTTTTTGTCTTGTTTTCTTCTAGATATTGGGCGAACAGTGTTGACAAAACTATGGCCGTGGTGTCTGTCACACCTTCAATTGATCTCCCAATTTGCACTTACTCTACACCCTCGTTTTCACCCGACTCGACCGGGTCGAATATGACAACCTTCACCTCCCCTTCTTCTTCAGTCGGGTCAAATTTGAATTGTTCATCTACTAAACCAGAAAGACCCAAACAAGACTCCCTGGCGCTCAGATCATCAGAGTCTGCTAACAGTAACATCGGCGAAGTGAGCAACAAAATTGGCAATCATATTTCCGGAGCAGATCTGACGAGTCCAGACTCAGATCAAGGAAGCGGATTTCCGAATTCACCGGAAAGTGAAAACTTGCATCAAAATTTGCCAGCACACGATGACGAAAAAATCCAAAACGCGTTCTCTCTGCTCCAGAAAACAGTAAGTTACTTCCTTTTGTAGATAACAGGTGCAAACTAAAACTAGCTTGTTTATAATTAACTGTTTGCTATCGTTTCGTAATTGTGTTAAAAAGAAATATTCTCTACCAACATAGTAGAAAAAAATACTATTTTAAATCTGATGCTTATACAGGAAAAAAGTTAATTTGACTGTAAAAATCTGATTTGATGACAATCTATATTTCAATGACAATCTGAACTTGTCATGGCCGTTTAAAAGGTCCGATTTAAGTAGTTCTCATTTCAAATGTCGCCTCCATTTTCGCGATGATTTCAAGCAAATGACTTTCTCTTCAAGTCTGGTCACTATTCCACGTTTCCTCTTCTCATCTCCCTCTTACCCATTAGTTCTATTGATGCCCCCCTATGTTCATTCTGCTGGGTGAAATTGGTTATGGTCTGTTGCCCGCCTGTGGCGAAAGTGTTTTAGCTGATAGGAATCAGCAGAGAACAGACTATAGCTCAAGAGACTCTCTTCTGGTCAAGGTGTAGGTGCTCTTCATCTTTTTCTCATCGGTCAAAAAGTGACTCAATTAGAATAAAAAAGTTTCGCCTGTGAATTTTCTTCAAAATATTGTTTTCGGTTGGGAATTCCCTTAAAAATATTATTTTGGGCTGTGAATTTCGTGATTTTTTTTCGGCTAGTGAAATTTGAGGGAAAAAATCTTGTAAAAAATCCATCTAACAAAAAATTTAAGGGTTGAATTTTTTATATGCCGCTTGTTTTTTCAATAAGTTTAGCTTTAGTTAATTTTCTGCTAATTGAAGTTGATTGCTAATTCGGCTAGTTGATTGATTTTACTTAGTTGATTAAGAAGCAGCCAGCCGTGCTGCTATTCTGTTCCAATTTGAATTAAGATAAGAGCAGTCGCTCTGATGGAGTAGCGAGTGAGGTGAACAAAGAGGGCGGAAGGGGTGAAGGAGAGTAGCGCTGCATCGGCTTCCCCCTCGCCCGCCGGGAGATATCCGCAGCCGTGGCTTCAGCAGTCTCAGCAATCGCATCCTCCGCCCGCAGCACAACCAGCTCAAGTTCAACTCTCTCCCGAAACCCCCTCCCCCTCCCCCTTTTACTCCCACTCTGTAGTCTACTTGTTCCGCTCTTGCCACATCAATCAGCAGAGTCAATTTACTAAATTAGCAGCTGCCCAAACTCCATTCCAATGATGTTCTTATTTAAAAAGATACGTCTCATTTTCAAAATTAAGTTGGAAGCTAGGAAGTAAAAATTTGTTACTTGTTTTTATTGATTTATATTCCATTTAAAGTTTGAACTGGATTTTGAAATGAGAACGAGTGATTCGAACCCTTGAATTGTTGCCGCTGTTTTCCGTGTTTTGACTTCTGATTTCTGATTAGAATGAGCAATGTTTAAGGTCCCGCGTTGTTTTGAAAGTATTGCCTCCTTGTTAAGTGGTTTTTACTATTTAACCAAATAATCATTTTTTTGCTCCGTTTTTTTTCAAATTTACAAACAAAACGCAAACTTTGTTTATTTGAACTTTGAAGGTTGGTTAGAAATATCATATGATCACTGGGTGTCTTTAAAGCAAGATCAATTCAGTAGTCTTTGTTTAGTTTGGATATGGTACTTAATGCTAATAAGGTATAAGGACTAAAGATCAGAATCAAGACGACAATAAGTTTGTCCGCCGGTGCCTATGCTTTAATATGTACCTTTGGTAGTATATGACGCTCTGATCTGCCTTTCTGTTTTGTTGCTTAATTCTGGTAGTAATAATATTTAAGAAGTAGAGCAAACAAGTCGCCATCAGCGATCATAAGCGCCAACAAGACACCATTTTCATCCAAGCTTAGTAAACTAGTTGTAGTGTTAGTTGCAGTACTTAAGATGTCTTGTATCGTCGTGTCTTATTTCTGATCAGAGCTAGCTGATGTTGACTTGATATGATTGTTGAGCAAGCAGCTCGTTTCCTGTCCCGAAAAAGACCTCAAACAAACCTCGCAAAACACCAACTACAACACTATCTCCCCAATACAGCTTCTGATCTCTTCTTTTCTTCTGTCCTCATGGCGCAGAAACATGCACTACCCCTCTGATAATTTAAGTAACTACAATGCGCGACGTACCTCCCCCAAAGACACCCCTCCTGTAATTTGAAGAAATAGAGAAAAGAGTCGAGAAGTCCAAGAAGAGTGTTGGCTCAGTTTCCTGTGTGCTTAGTTGTGAGCAAACACCAGGATGAGAAGTGGACCATAATTCCAGATAGAAATTACTCCACTCAAGATATCTCGAGTTAAATGTAAAGGTCTTACGATATCATGTCTCGTTTCTTATTCTGTATAAAAAAATTATTTTCACGGTTATCTAACCATATATCTTATACGGATTGTTTCGCTTCCGTATCATCGTGTATCATGAAGGACGTTTTTTTAATTTAAAAAAATCAAATTTCTAATTTTTTCAACGTTGGCGAACAAATATAAATTTGTTGTATTTTTTCTGAAGGTAGTTTTTAGTGTCCCAAAGTCGTGAATTATAGATCGCGCAATGAACTCGAACAAATCAAACACAATTTTATTCTTTGAGACAGACTACTCGAAGAATATTATATAATGTCAGAATAGTTGGATTCAGTCGGGAACTTTTGATCTTGAGCTTGAGACTCACTCTACAAATCAGATTTGCAGGTTCAGTGGTATTAACTACAATTCTACATCTGCTTTTTCCAATACACCTGACAATTGAGCTCCCCAAATTCAGATTAGAATCAAATCTTGAAGCAAGTGGTTAAATTGCAGCAAGAGTGAACCAAATTCGAAATAATATCCAATTTATTGCGGGGGATCTCGGGAGCCCCGATTAGAGCCTCTAATCCCCCACCTTAACCCTCTCTCTCTCCGTGGACAACACCGGCAGCAGGCTCTTCTCTCGCCTGTTTGTTGTCGTGCAGTTGCAAGCTGATCCCTCTCCTCTTTGCCAGACCAGCAATCCCGCAGTCAAAATTAAGCAATGATCCGATTAGCAAATTGGCCGAAACTTAGTTTCCTTAATTTGAGCAAAATGACTTTATTATTGTGTTTTGGCAGGGCTAGTAAAAACAATCTGTTACATTCGGGCCTGTTAGTTTTATCAAAGTTTGAACAAAACTTCATTTTTTCACGAAATCATTTTTTTTGCAATACTATCCAATATTTTAGGTTTTTTTGTCAATAAATTTTTTTTTCACATTCGTTAGAAATTAAAATGAAAATATTCGCGTTGTTTTAAAAAATCGATCTGATATTGGAGCATTAGCTGGGGGCCCAATTCGATTTGTAGATAGGGCGGCCAACTAGTGCTGCTGCCAATTGCGTCGGGCGGGCGGACTGGACTGGTTTGATGGGCTAATCAATCCAGCAGTATCTCTCTCAGCCCTAATCTTCTGCTGAGCTGGCTGTCCGTCCGTCTTCTCAGCTCTCCTCTTCTTCCGTGCAGGGGGCACCCGCTGTGTTAGATATTAAAACGGGGTCCGGAATTATGCCAACGTGGGGAATTATCCCAACTTATTCTGCGCCCGCCGCCGCCGCTGCTGTTGTGGTCGGCCGGATCGGGGGAGAGTACTGCAACTGCTGCTCCAAATGGGGAGTTTCTGGACTGCTATTTGCACTTTCTGTAAACACAGCAGAGCTCTCCTGCTGGTGCTGCCGGAGAACACAAGCGGATTGATCAGTTGATCAGTTCAGCCTAATAAGTTAATAATCAACAGCCCCTTTGCTGCTTCCTACCTCTTGCGCCGACTGTTCAACCGGCCAAAAGCCCAATGAGCCCAAAATTACACTATATTTAGTTTCAATTTGCACTATAATTTTTTTAGTATATATTTTTAATGAAAGCTACAAAAATAAACTTTGTAGTAATTTTCGTTGAAAAGTTTTAACCCAGTATTTGGTGATGGCAGTTTTCGGCTAAGTACGAAAAATGGGGTTCTGAGTATGTACTAGTGGTGTGAATTAGGTGCTTGTTGGTATCATCTGCGCAGATAGGAACAGTCTAATCCCGCGTCCCGCAGTGACTCTTTGTTCGCGTCTCCGTGCTAAGCACCTCTGTGACACCACCAGCAGCTAAACAATCTCCCTCTCTCTTTCTCTCCTAGCAGAACAGAAGAGTTAGAGCGAATTAAGAGAGCACGAGAGATTTTTCTTCTCTCAGACAGCCATTAACTAATAAACTTAAGATATTAGTTATATTTACAACGAGCTAATGAAAATTTAAAAAGCTAAGAATATCTAATAGTTGTTTTTGTTGTTAGGTCAGGCTTTTGATTGCTAAGCTATTGTGTTTTGTTAATGAAATTTTTAAACGATTTTCTGGTGCTTATGCTAACGAAATTAATGACAACATACTTGATTTTATAATAGGAAACTTAGAAGTATTTTCATTTTTTTTGTCTTTATTTTAGCTTGACTTCCTTTCAAATGAGTACGGAGTTCACTACGCGCTGCTATCTTGCTACAGACGAAGACGACAAATAATTCACTCGATCGAAGACTCCGAACCAGAAGAGCTCGAATCCGAGGCCTCCGGTGGACCCCTATCATACACGGTCGTGGCGTCTGGATCCGCAGGATTGGCTAGTGGGTTCTTTCTGGATCCTCAAGGACCTGGTCAAAAGTGTCTCGCATCTTGGACTGAGTTCTGCACAGGTATGAGTCATCGATCAAATTTATATTCACACTATTCAAGAACTTCTCAATGATGATTTAAAACGAGTCTCGGTTTTCTATTGTGAATCGTCTCAAGTTTGAAGAAACGTGAGCACTCATTGCACTTCACTGCTCATTCAACTGTAGTTGTGAAATGTTAACTTGGTCACAATTTAAAGACCAATTTGATTCAGTTTGACAGTTTTAAGCTTCGAGCAAAAACGCTGGATAAATTTATTGAGTACATTGCTGTTGCTAAATAAGAAAGACTTTTCAACATACTTCTTGATAAATTATACAATAGAATTCTTTAGCTACGAGTTTGAATGTGCGAGACAATAGGAATATAAACTTCTTAAGTCAATTGTGTTTAGATTTCTCGAAAGAGGAAGAAATGTTAAACTGCGAACCCTTTGCATTCACCAAACACATAGAAGCAACATCCCCTTTGATGACCATGGATTCCTTGACATCAAATTCTGTTTCAAAAGAAATCTTTGAAACTGACAACTCTGCGTCAAAAAGGTTGCTTATTGACATTTCGGACCACGGAGTTGGACAGTCACATCCAAAGAAAGCGCGTGAGGAACTACTAACACATCCATCAGAAATCGAAAAAAATCATCAGGTTCAAACTTCGGTATCAAATAGTCAAACAAGTCCATCAGCCGCAGGGCTTTTCTCGGTAGCCGAAAGGGAAAGTGTCTTGGCTCCATTTTTGCCCAGTAAAGATTACTTGTCAAACGGGGTTCTAGATTTCTCTAGTGGCAAAGATGAGCCGGAAACAACCACAGCTATCCCAGAATCAAATGCTACTCGCCGTAACAATACTTTGATTCATTCAGCTGACAATCAACTTAATCTGGGTGCACCAACAACTGGAGAACTAAATCAAAACGTGAACAAATTTTTCGGAACCCTGAACCACAGATCATATCTGGGAAATGGGCAGAGTTTTGGCGCTGATGAAAGCAACCGGGAGCGAGAGAAATCAGCACGACCAGTGAGGCGGTGTGGGAGTGAGTTTGCACAGGGTGTGGAAAGAATGGATCAATTGCAAATGAGCAAAAGCAGTCCAAACTCAGTCGGAAAGCAACATGGAATCCCGTCACAAGGTAAAAACTCACCGAAAAATTACAATTATGCGTTACACTTTCATCTATGACAATGTTTTGACAACTCAAAAAAATTGTTCAATTTCTCGCACGGGTAAAAACAAGCATAGTATCTTTTTATGTCCAAATTTGATTTCATCGGAGGTACTTCAAGGACATGAGGCTGAAGGAAAATTCTCAAAATCTGCTCCAATGGTCATTACAATTTCTGAACTTCTCTCATAGTTCTCTGTTTTTTTATTACAACTTAATTTTTTTAAATGATCCTCTCAACTATCCCTCCTCCCTTTTCAAAAAATCGGATCTATTTTTAGGTATAAAATTAGCATGCGCTCAATTTTATGAACTGATCTTGTATTGGGGCGAATATTTTTTACTAGGTACTATAAGGGGGATGGTTGAGAGAACCAAAAAAAAAACAAACATTTTTTATTGTTTTTTTTTCTCCACTCAATCTGTAATCATTCATAAACCGGTCCAACTCGCAAACTACAATTATCTGATGTCGTTCACGCTACTGACCAAGTACATCAAGCCAGAACATACTTGAATTGAACATATTGCAGCAGAGAGAGATTTTTTCGCTCTTTCACTCTCTCGTTAAGAGAGCTCTTTCCGATGCTATCTTTCTTCGATCAGCTCAGCTCTCTCTCCCTCTCTCTTTCTTCAGCTCCAAAAACACATGGTGTCCGTTCCTAATGATGCTCTAATTTTTAACTCACTATTAAAGCTCACTTTTAGAACTAGTTTTGCCTGTTGTGATTTAGAAAAACGGGGAAACAGTATCGCTTACAAGTTAAAACAGCAACAATTGTATCAGATCCATTTCACTGGTTCGGTCAGTAGCCGCGGCTAAGCCGCACAATTGAACAAAACTGAAGAGTTCTGTCATCGTGTCAATATGTTTACTTTTTGTTTTGTTTATATCACTGGGGCTGAAACAGAAAAAGTATAAAATATCAGAAAAAGCATTAGAACTGAGCACGGATACATCTGTTGCTCACGGTGCATAAGCAGTAAGCAGGCAGGCATGTTTTAACTGCACCTCGCCTGATATTGGCGCAAGTCAGACTGTTCCGCTTCGCTCTCTGTTGCAGCGTGTTTCCCTCTCTGACTCTCTAAAGTCTTCTCAAGAAAACACAAATTGCAGATCAAAATAAGAGAGCGAATAAAAACAAAAATAAGTCATGAAGCTTATAAAATTCTAGCTAGTCCTATTTTTAATACAATTTCAAAGACAGTTTCTACCAATTTAGAAGTTAATTTCGGTTCACAATATTATAATTCAATAATTCTTTTTTTTTTTCAAAATTCTAAAAACACCAGGAAAAAATTCCAAAAACAGCCTGACTCTATTATTCTGTAGCTCTATAACTTCAAAATTTTTTGACTCCTTTAAATAAAAAGTTCCGAGAGCTTTAAGGTTATACATTTTTTTCTTTGAAATTCGAAAGTTGAGATTTTTATAAAAAATTAGTTCAGTATTTTTTTCTGTTTTCTTGCGTTCATTGACTCTTTTTCAAATTGTTGGCTTTGTCATACTTTTAAAAAAAAAGATGACATAATTTTTTCATATGTTTTCAAGAAATCTATTTAAAGGAAATCAATAGGTTCTGATGTTTTTTGTTTGTTTTTTCGGAAAAATCTTAAAATTTGATTTGGTTTTTGGCGTTTTGTTGGTTTTTATGAATCTTTCAAAAAAAGATTTGGTTTTTGGCGTTTTGTTGGTTTTTATGAATCTTTCAAAAAAAATAAAAATCAGTAACCTTTCCTCTCAATTAAATTAGCAATTAGTATTTTAAGACGTGATAGAAGACTGCAAAAATGATAACCAAAAAAGGCAAAAATAAATGGATGCGAAGGGCGGGGTCGTTTGTCTGACGCTGCAGATGATCAGTGCAGTTGTGTTTATACACCCAAAGGGTCTACTTTGTCCCACTCGCCCTTTCAATCGACTGAATTGAAGAAGAGAAGCAATCGGTAGAGAAGAAGCTGACCAGAGGGCCCTTTCCTCTCAATTCACTCTTCTTTTTTGAAAAGCGTACCTGGTAGTTATTGCTTCTCTGTCACCTGATTTGAAAGCGTGTATACATTAATGCGAAAGCATAATAATGCAAATAATTTGCAAGTGAGGCAAGTAATTTTTCATTTGAAAGCATGTTTCGAATCATGCCTTCATGTAAACAAAAAATGCCATTAATCTCAAGGAATACCTTTAATTACAATGGAAAAAGCAGCAAATAAGCAAAATGACATTTCACTGATCAGACTATTTAAAAATAAATAAGCCGTTAAGAATTTACTGGTATGAAACCTTGATTTTAGAAAAAATGAGCTAGTTTGTGGATGGATGAGATTTTTGGCTCATCTATTTTTTCGTGCAAGCAACATTTGTGCATTTTTTGTGAAATTTGCTTTTTCGTGCAAGAACAGCATTGGCGAAAGCTAGAAAGCTATCTTTGATATAAAGAAAAACGAGAACTATATGCGTCTTTTTTGACATAATTTTTTTATGAGCCTCGAGATACAGTTTCCTCTCTTATCTTATTGTCTCCTGATACTCTATGCCGCTTTTTGTCTGGTGCCTGAAGATGATGACGGTGATGATGATGATGATGATGAGTGCATCTGGCAAGAGGCACTTCTGAAGCAGCTGGTTGCTCTTTGGCTGCCCATCGGCCCATATCTCCGCCTCCAGTTCCAGTCTCATTACCTCAGCCCTAATTGCCCCCGACATCCCCAATCCTCTCATCTCGCATCGTCCCTTCTCTCTCTTCCTCTGTCTCTTTCTCTCCTCTCTTCACACCCCTCTTCTCTCCTCTCCTTCCTCTTTCCGCTCTGCCCAGTAGTTAATCAAGCGACCCAAACACACAACACAACACAACATAAGACAGTAAGACAGAGTCAGCAGACCTCACCAACTGACACCCAACAAGAGCAATCACAGCCGCACAGCCAGCAGCAGGCGCTCAATCGACCCCCGCTGGAGGGAGATATTACAGTTACTGCACGCCCCACCGAGCACCAAACAGACTTCATCAAGTAGTCTAATCATCATCTTCAATATCCGGCTGACGCTGATGATGATGATGATTATCATTAGAGTATCCTTGAATAGTTTCTAACAATAGCTGATAGCAACTTTGACCGCGAAATTTCTCTAAACTGTCTTCTCTTCCAGTTTTTAGAGTTTTTGAAATTCCTTATCCGGATGGCCGCCTTTTGCAGCTTTTAATTGTACCTGCCGTCTTATATGAAAAAATTCTATAGTTTTCTTTCATTTTTTTTTAAATTAAGAAAGCTCAAAAAATTCAATGATGGAAGAGCATTTATGATAAATTTTGTTCAAAAATTCAAATTCGAAGCCAGCAATTTTTTGTTTATTCTCTTTGAGTTGATTGACATTTTTCTAATTGTTTGTTTACTATGTTTTTCAACATCCCAAAAATGTTTCATTGGAGATTGAATCACTACAGAAAGGAAACATCATTCGAACACATAATGAAACATCATTCCTTAAAATGAAACATCATTCGATCCCATCTAGTTTATTTGTCGCATCTGGATTTGAGTGGAAAAAAACTTGAATTCAAGGATCGATTTAAAAATCTCTCTGATAGACCAAATTATGATTATCTCAACGATTAATTAAAAATAATAATAATAATTTTTATTTTCAAGCCAAAACTGATAACCATACATTCTATGAAATTGAACGTTTACAATTTAGTTCGGCTTGGGAGAATTCTAAAAAGTCATCAGCCTGTCGGGTGGCATCTCTATGAGCAAAATTCATTCGTCCAGTTTTTTTTAGACTTAGCTCATTTGGACAGTACTCAAAAATGACCGCAAAATTTCTTCAATATGGATCAAAAACTAAAAAAAAAAACCGAACTAACGCAAAAATCTTTTTTTTAGGTGTTGTCCAACAATCAAAATAAGATGACCAAAAAAAACTGTAACAAAGTGATGGAAATTTACCATAAAATACTTAAAAAATAGAAATTTGGATTAACTTTGCCAAAAACTGCCATAAATTTCTAATTTGATTTTTTTTGTTTTTAATTCTGCTAATGCCAAGCAAGAAGACAAAATAAATTGTGAAGTTTCAATCGTGGTTTGATTTTGTGTCACTTATTGGCGTGTGGCTCTAATTTTTGGCGTGGCAATGGGAATGCATTGTTTTTGACTACAGAGCATGTCGCAAAGCTCACTCTGCACCGCAGAAGAAGAAACAAAATCAAAAAGCCAGCTGCATTCTGTCTGCTCTTTCTTCTTTTCCCTTACTCCTGCCGACTCAGTAAAAGTGTCGAAACGCAAGATCGCCGAAAATAAAAATGCGTCCAAGTGTGCCGAAAATAAAAATATGACCAATAAAGCCGAAAATAAAAATGTGCTCAAGAGCGCCGAAAATTAAAAAATGTGTGCAAGAGTGCCAAAAATAAATTGTCTTCAAAATTTCCAAAAATCAAACTCAAACCAGGTTTTACAAAAACTGAAGAGATGATAAAGCTGTAAAACGAAGTCACTGGCTGGAAAAAGCGGAAAAACTTGTGGTTTTTGTTACTGGCAGCAATCAAAACAAATTAATTTTTTAAACTGGTGTCATCAGTTGCTGCAAACACACGCTAATTATACTTGCAATTAACAAAATAGATCTAGTTTTTGCTCTAATTTATGCAAATTTTTGCTCAAATTTTTAAGCAGAGCCGAAATTAAATCCATTCAAAAGTAAAAAAAAAACCAAAAAAGAATACAAAAGCCATTTGTTTCAGTCACTTTTGAACACTTGCATTTTTCGGCACTCTTGCACTTCGGCATTATTGTAAATGCCCATTCCTTTCTCATGATGACAATTGATGGAAAATCAGAAGACAGCAGAAATGCAGAACAATTGCACTGCGTTTTTTGTTTTCTGAAGACGTCTTTTGTTTGTGTTTATGGAAGACGATGGCTTCTGATTTGGTTGTCAGCTTCTCTTGTAGAGACACCACAGTACCAAAATTTATGGATCAGTTTTCCACCAAAAACATCATGCCGACTTAATTTTTATGATGCAGTTGAAGCAGAGCTCTAGCGCTTTGAGCGAAAATCATACCAAAGTGTAGCCTAGAACTAAAAACAGAAATAAACAGATTGCTTTACATGCAGATAAACTGGATCAGTTAGTTGTAAAATTGCCTAGGGTTGTTTTTTTTGTTTTGGATCATATGAAAGATCATATTTCTGCAGTTCACTGTTGATAGAAAAACATTTGTTTGAAATTTTTGTTACAGAGCAAATCGTTGCCAAGGGATCATGGATGTGTCCTCAATGCATGAAAGTCATCAAGTACAAACGCAACGCCAGAGCTCATCTGATGTCCCATGCAGCTGTGCGACCTTGTTTTTCTTGCTCCTACTGCGACCAATCCTTCACCACCAAATGGAATTTAAAGAAACATCTGAAACTGAATCATGGAATAGACATGGAAATAAATGACCCCCTTGTCAATCACAATAATGCTTCTCAGCTTCCCTTAGTGAACAACAACGAATCACAGCAGCAGAGGAATCAGTTGAACCCTCCAACATCACAGGGTATCCAAGGAACACCAAAACAGACTCCGACGACCTTGAGTTCCGCAAACTCCGCTCAAAGAATCGCAGATGCCATTGACAGTAAACTAGATGTGAACAGTTTTTTGGGAAACCATTTTTTTCCAAACTTGCCCAACATGCCTCCTTTAAGCAATTTGGGGCCCTTGGCAGCAGCAAGTGGGTTTTATAACCCGCCTGGAACTTTGCCTGACTTGGGGTCCAAAGGAATGCCCCCGGGCATGGATCTAAAATCATTGCAACAGCTCTATCAAAACCTGGCCAGCAAAGATTTGCTGGGTACTAACTTAAACGGCCTTAACATTAATAACCTATCAGGAGCGGACGCAAGTAAAGCGTTGCAAGCTCTGACATCAGTCAACATGTTGCTTCAATCAAGCTTTTTCGCAGAACAAATGATGAACGTAGGTTCGAACCCCGCTCTCAACCCCGGATCTTTGCCGATGAATCTGCCAATGAATCCAATGGGTTTGGGCGCACCTCTTGATTTGAATACGTTTGCGGCACAGTTGGCTGGTCAGATGAAAACAAGTGGAGTTGATTTGAGCAAGACGAAATTGAGCAAAGACATGAAACGAGACTGGACGGTAGCAGGTGATTTCAATTGCAACAGTTTAAAAACAGACAATCGACATAATCAAGATGATAAATTAGCACATGATGAAGATGAACAAAAACCTTTAAACTTCACTACAAAGTAAACCTATTGTTCCAGACAAAAACTTAATCAATATAATGAAGTTCTATCAATTTTCTTTTTTCATTTCATTGATGATAATATGTTGAAGTTACGTTTATGTTTAGTTTGGCTGGCCTAAAGTTACTAGGAAAAATTAGATGAATTTAACAGCTTTCTGTTAATGCCCTAATTTTGGATTGCAGTAGATTTAAAATATATATTCGGTGCAGTTTTTCTCTTTCTTCTGTTTAGCTATCCGTTCGAGTCAATCAGCTCGAGTCAATCGAACTTTCGATCACCTCAATCTATTTCAAAAGTGTACTTAATTTTGTCATTTTCTTCCGCTATAGTAATTCATCACTCATCAAAAATACCAGTTTTGAAATGATAACAAGAATAGTCTCAAGCAGGGGCGGATTTAGGGGGGAGGGTGGACGCCCCCCCCCCTCAGGGGTTCGACCCCCTGCCGACCCAAAGGGTCCCCTTTTGTACTATTTTGAGATATTCATATTTGGTGACGGACCCTAAAAGTTTTCTAAAAGCGGATTTGGCGCCAATTTATACTTACTTTGAGGGGGGAGCGCGCGCCAAAAAAACTCAACTTGGTCAAAATTTTCTAAAAAGTGCCTAAAAACGCCTTTTTTTGGCCGGTTTTTCAAAATTTTGCCTGCGGCGCAGAAACTTTGACCAAAATGGTCTTTTTAGTGCTTTGGGAGAACTCGGAAAATCAATTCGGTCGACCTAAAAAAAAAAGGTCGAAGAAATTTTAGAAATTTTTTGAAAATCCGCTCCCCTCGAGAAAATCCTAGATCCGCCCCTGGTCTCAAGAATGTCACTCTGGTTTTAAACATCTAACATAACATTTGAGTAACATATATATTAATTGTGGTTTCTGCGATTCGCAGAGGGTCTATGAAAGGCTATCCAGCCTGTCTAAGCATAGTCCGTTTCCCCTATTTCCCCACATTAAAGACTGAGTTATTTTGTTGAGCGGAGCTCTTTGCTTGCGTCTAAGACTTTCACGTGGTACCGCTATTGCAGCCTATCGGTCAGGATGTAGTAGAACTGAAGCTAGAGATCGTCTTCACACACTATCCTTACCATTACAAGGGATCGATTACACGATCTGATGAGCTCAAAGGGAACGCCCCTCCAATATACTAAGTGCCTACATATTTATTATTTAAATAAAACCAAGTGTTAAAACGTTTAAAATGATATAGACTCACGTGCAGCCGTTTGAAGAAAAATAAGGCTGCTCTTGAGCCTGTACCTTTTTGATCTTTGAATTTTTTTGATGTGCTGGGAGACAGTTTTATCTTTGGGGGTGAGCTATGCTAAGCTCTGCGAGAAGTTGGGTGTAGACAAGCTGGAAAACTTGTGAGTCTTTGTCGGCTATTGAACAAAAAGTTTGAAAAACTAATCATTTTTATCTCAGAAGTAGTCCAAAAATAACAAACAATTTTGACATTAAAACCAAATTTGGGTGCTTTAAACAGCGCAAGACTTTTAAAGACCAAATCCTGAGATTACAAGGGATCTCGGACTGTAAATTTTGCAAGATATCAATTTAAAAACTTTGCAAGGAAAATCATTATGCTTGCTATTTTCTTGCAAAACGCTGTCAAAATTTGCCCTCGTTTGAAAGATTTGTGTACGATTTGATTTGCATTCACTGTACAAGAAATAAGCACGATTTTGCATTCTAAATCAACATTTTTCATTTTCAAGATTTTTCTGGTTTTATACTCCGAGCTTTTGCAAAATTGTGCAGAAGAGATTGGCTTATGTTTCCCCTAAGACAAAAAGAAACATAAAAAAATTGCACGAATGCATGCAAAACATGCGAAACTAATGTTTTGAAAGGTGTATACATCATTTAAAAATATATTATAAAATAATTAGACAACGTTTAAACCTAGTTTTTCTGAAAATTGGCATAAAAAGGTGAATAATGCGAAATCAAATAAAATTATACAATATACAGTTTATAAAATTTATACAATTTTATATTTATACAATTACGTGGTTGAGGGAATGCAAATCTTGCAAGAACCTGGTTAGATTTTGCAAAGGTTGCATCATCAAAATAATCGTCGCCAGAAAACTAAACACTTATTCACTCTATTATTTTAGCAATGAAAACTTCGCGTTTGTGTGTGGGTGCGTGTGTGCGTGTGTGCGCGCGCGTGTGTGTGTGTGTGCGCGTGCGTGTATGTAAGTGTGTGTGTATGTGTGTGTGTTGTGATACACTGGATGTGGAAATCTAGTAGAGTAGTTTCTGATCAAAACTTCGTTGCACACGTCAAAACATCTACTTTGAGCTGCAGATTTTCATGAGTTTTAATTTAGTTGCAGTGTGTGTATATTTATATAACGTAAAAATGTTTCTTTTGTCTTAAAAATCCAGTGCAATTTTGAGCAGTGAGAATTTTTTTAGAACAAATTTTGAATGTTGATCAAATAACTGTTATTGAAAGAGTTCATATATTATTGAAACTTCATATACTCGACCCCAGCTGAGGTTGAATTTTTTACGCTTTTTTGAAGAGAAAAAAGACTCTGAAGGTTTAGTGCTTTTCATCGCTGACGTCGAAAAACACGTATCAGGTTGTTCAGCAAACTACACAGATTGTTCTGATCACAGTTCCCATTGTGAATCTTTCTTCAAAACTTCCAAAAACCATGCACAAAATTAACATTCGTACTCAATTGTTTTCTGTTTTTCATTAGAGTGGTGAATTTAAACTCCGTTGTTAGAGAAATATAGGATCTAGTTAACAATCCCCCCCCCCCCCCCTATTGTACCTACTAAAGAATCTCCATTCCCCCCTTCCAGAAAGGGGAGAGAATGTTAAGTTGATCCCTGGGGATCTACTTAACAATCTCCGCCTATTGTACCTACTAATGAATGTCCCCCCTTTCTTGACTGGGGGGGGGGAGATTTTTAAGTAGATCCGAAATGTAGAACAATAAGTTTAGGTATTCAAAACAAAATTGAAGCCATGATTTCAGTTCACAGTTCGCTTTTTGTTTCTTGAAAAGTTCATTCAAGTTGTTTTGATTTGTTTCTAGCTGTCTTAAGTGACCTTCGGTATTAATTAAATACCGGTTAACTTTGTTCGATGCAACCATCGGCCGATTGCAGAAACAAAATAATTCAAAACAATATTCAAAACAAAATTGAAGCCATGATTTCAGTTCACAGTTCGCTTTTTGTTTCTTGAAAAGTTCATTTAGTATTCATAGTTGTTCTGATTTGTTTCTAGCTGTTTTAAGTGACCTTCGGTATTAATTAAATACCGGTTAACTTTGTTCGATACAACCACCGGCCGATTGCAGAGTTTTCGTTCGGTTATTGTTTTAGAATTTAATTTCTTTTAATTAATTGTATATTAGTTGTACATAACTAGTAGAGTAACAAAACACTTTATATTGGCGCAGTCTAATGATTCGAACGTGCTTGGAATCCCCCTTCTGGCCTAATCACACCCTAGAGCCACCGCTTGCCTGGACCCAATGGAGCGAACAATTTCAATTGGCATAAATTGCGATAGAAAATCTGGACATAAAGAGCCTAAACGGACCAGAGATTCCAGAAACGCAAATACCCATCTTGGAACAAGTAACCGGAAGCGAGACGGACACGGACACAGCCAGCAGAGAGACGAGCAATAAGAACGCTATGAAACAGTACGAAGCCGCCGACGAAAAGCGGATCAATGAAGAAAAAAGAAAATTCAACGGATCGAGACAGACGAAAGTGGATAAGAAACTGCGCTCAATTTTATTTTTTTAGCTCTAGGGAGCGAAGGAAAAAGTTTTCACTCAGAAGAACCCGAGGTTCAAGACTTTAGCGATCTCCTTCACAGAGTTCTGGACCTTACTTGACGCAGCAGTCATTAAACCGCCCAACACAACGTTCGAGAGGTATAAATTACTAAACCGCAAACAGAAAGATCGAGAATCATATGAACAATTCTGGGGAGCACTAACGGACTTGGCGAGTACCCGTAATATAAAAGAGAATGACGCAGCGGAATGGACAAAAGATGTCTTCATTTGTAACATGAGAAACACAGACATCCAACGGAAACTTTTATCAGCCACGATAAGTCCGACAGAAGCACTCAACCAGGCCTTGATCCTTGGAAAGGGGTATTGTAACCACCAAAAATTGACAAATATGGCACTATCGTCGACCAACGGGTCAATTTTTAAATCTTTTAACAACCACAATCAGATCAAGAAGGAACCAAGTCTAAACATAGAATGTAGCAAAGCGTGTATGAAGTGTGGGAACCCATTTACGAAAGGGCATCTAAACGTAGGAGCGAAGGAGATAATATGTAAAATTGTAACAACAAAGGACACTTCGCCAAACGATGTAAATCCCGTAATAAACGACCCACTGTAAATACTGTAAATGACAACTATGTAAACACTGAGAATTGTACTTACGTCTCTCCGGAAAGCTCGTGGGGCGAAAATCAAGAATCTTGCGATGTGATAAACGCCTGGAATGAATACGGGCAGAGTGATGACGACGACTTCTCAGTACTTAACGTCAGAACGATTTACGATGAAAACGGGCTGGAAACTAAGAAACTGCTAAACATAGGCTTGGGATGGGAGATGATCGTAGACTCCAGTAGACTCAGCAAGACCAGCAAGCTTTTTAAAACAAAACGTGTTGCACGAGCTCAAACTAAGATACCCGAACCTAAAAATTCACCCAGTGGAGAAGAGGATTAAAGACTTGTATTGTGGGTTCACTGACGATACAATAAATATCTTAGGAAAGATCATCGTGAAGACACAATTCAATGGGTGGATCTGCGAAGAAACTTCTTTCTTTATTACTGGTGGTCATGAACGAAACATTCTTGGGAATGACAACTTACCTGAGTTAGGCATAGAAGTGAAACAGAAGAAATACCCCGAGCCAATCTGTATGGTCAACCAACCACCATTCGAGAGTAAGTGTATAAATCAGCATTCATCAAATGAGAAAGTTTTCAGCGAGTTTAAAGAACTATTTAAAGAACTAGAAAACGAGCAAATAGTAAATTTCAGCATAGTAGGCGGTGAAACAACGGGAACCTATCAATTTTTAACTGGATTTTATGGACTGGGTGAAATGCCCAATGAATTCCAACGGGTCATGGACTCACTTTTAAAGAGCATACCGTTCTTAAACTGTTATATAGAAGACATTTTGGTAGCATCGAAGGGATCGTTGGAAGAACATAAAGCAATAGTCTTTAATATTGTAACAATTCTGGACAAGAATAATATGGCGGTAAAATGGGGAAATGTGCATTTTTCAAATCTGAGGCAGAATGGCTAGGCTTCAAAATCTCAG